GCAGGTTGAGTAGTGCTCGCAAACATTTATATTATTCCACATTATGTATGCACCTGTCCCAAGTTAGGAGTCTATTATTATGTGGATGTCGTTGGTTGCTGCCTGTCATATTTGTTGTTCTTGATTTGTTTATAAATCAGGCCGTTTTTTTTTCTTTTTTGAATTGTTTTACATTAGGTCATGTCGGAGGCTATAGTTGCTTTTATCCACGTCGTTAGATGTCTGGTGGATAGTTAGAGTAGGTAGTTAAACAATAACCTTAAAGTTCAGTTTTGAAAGTTTCAGTATGAACATTAAATGACTAATACATGTCTACCTTTAAAACACCCTACTAACTTAGAGTTCTACCAAGGCTGAATCGTACATGACGTTTGTCCTAATTAGCATACTGCATTTACTGCCTTAGAGCATATCAATAATGTTGGGTTTAATTGCAGCTTCATGTTAGATAACCATCAATGTATCCATTTATTTCTTTGTAAGTATATGTAGATGAAGAGAACATAGGGATCAATTTTACTTTTCGTGATATTCCAGATGCCCAATTACAACTGCTTAACCTTAAATGTACATTTGCAGTGTATAAATAAATAAATAATCCATTTCATTTTGAAAACTAAAATATACTCTGGGCCTTTTATCTCCAAATATACGGTATGGGTTTTTCTGATTGTTGAAGACCGTACGGTAGCCTATAATTGTTTACATCCACTTCATTTGAACTTTGTTGGATATTGTTCTTATTGGCAATCATACCACATCTCCTTATTTTTATATCAATTATCAAGATGACAGGGTATTTTAACCCTATCCCTCTTGATGCATTTTGGGGGATTTCGAATCGTTAGGAGTGGTGTTTCCTGTGCTTTTTTGTAGCTTCTGTAAATGCTACTAGCGGTACCTGTTCCTATACGCATACTTTGTGCGAAAAATTAAAAGTATTTTTACGATCATGTGTACAGTCTGATCGTTTCTCTATTTCAGTGAAAATAATAATAAGATAAACAAATTATATCGTATAAATGTGAATGCAGAGAGCCCGATTTTTTAATATGTTTTTGTCATACCGACGTGAGTTATACAAAACAGATCGACGAAAGACTCTTAAAACATATAATATGCTGATAAATAGATTACAGTTCATAAATAAATGAAAGAACTTTGAAATTTAAAATGAGTCAATTGATTTGTAAGGAGTTTGAAAACACCGAAAGACCTTGATTAATGTATGGCATATATATGCAGCTTTTGTAACACACACACACACACACACACACACACACACACACACACACACACACACACACACACACATATTTATATATATATATATATATATGGGATGCGAATGCTCTTAAATAAAGGCAACAGTAGTATACCGCTATTCGAAATTCATAAATCGATTGAGAAAAAAAAAACAAATCCGGGTTACAAACTAAAACTGAAGGAAACACATCAAATATAAGAGGAGAACAACGACACAACAGAAACACAACACTAAAATGCAACACACACAGAAACGAACTATAATATAATAATGGCTATTTTCCTGACTTGGTACAGGACATTTTAAGAAAAAATGGTGGGTTGAACCTGATTTTGTGGCTAGCCAAACCTCCTGCTTTTATGGCAATGTTAAATATAACATTAAAATGACAAGATTACATGACAGGACTACAATACAAATAAATTATAGAACATACAGGACAGAGACACACACAAATAATAGCTATCAAAAGGTACCAGGTTTATAATTTAATACGCCAGACGCGCGTTTCGTCTACATAAGACCCATCATTGACGCTCAGATCAAAAAAGTTCGAAAGCCAAAACAAATACAAAGTTGAAGAGCATTGAGGACCAAACGTTCCAAGAGTTGTGCCAAATACGGCTTAGGTTATATTCCTGGGATAAGAAAATCCGTAGTATTTAGAATAATTCATACTTTTGCAAACAGTAAATTTATAAAAATGACTATATAATAGATATATATGTTAACACCAAAGTGGTGACTAACTAAAGAAAAAAAAACGAATACGTAAAACAACCTTAATCAGCACATAAAAAAGGCACAGCCGAACAACTTATTATATGTTAGCCGAAGAGATCGACGCACAATGTGACGTATAAACTTCTATAAATTCCCAAAAAAATAGGATAGAGTTCAATATTATGTTTGTAATACTGATATAACATGTATAAATAACAATGCAAATTACAAAACTTATTAATATACAGTTGTGGTAGTAATTAGATAATTAATTGTATTATCAAGCTATGTCGGTATTTCTTCTAAATCAAACTGTAAACCAAATACATCGTATAAATTTAGTTGACCCAAACTAAAATCTTATAAATGAACTGGGTGATTAATTATCTTTACCTTAACACACGAATAGAACAGATAAAAATAAGATTTACAACTACAAACGATAAGACATTTGACAAAATCCGATGAGAATAACAAATATAACATCACAACTAAATACATGGATTTTGGATAGAAAAATACCGTGACACGTCTTATAGCAATGCGAATTCACACTCAGCAAAACAGTCACAATCGGGAATAAGTCACGTTCGGTACTTAAAAGATCAGACGACGTAATGGCAAACCACAATCTAACACGTGGTAAAAATGTCCTTTGTTAGTTTGGACAAAGACACATCGTATGAATTAACCAATTCGTGAATTGAGATCACTGAGGTTTTTCATCTACTCGTGTCAGATAATTATGGCTGATTAAAACAATTGACGTTGCTAATGATAACTGAACGTAATATTACAATAGCCATTTAAAACAAGAGACGTGATCAAGCAAAGAACATTACTGATCTTTATAATCTTTATAATAACACACATATAAGTATATAAACGTTATCCCTATTCATTTATACGGTCAAAATATAACAAATATTTATATATATATAAGCAAAAACAAGTGTTTTTATTATAAAACAGCATTGTCTGCGAAAATGCTAATTTGATGAGTTTGCAAAGTTTACAAGCAAGGTTGACTCGTCCATCTCGGCCATTTGAGTGAAAAGCATTCTAAGAGTTTCCGTAGATGCTACTGATAACTTAGGGTATTAACGCATGAGAGGATCAACAAGACATTACAGTAACCTTTTATGCAAAATTCTTATCCGCATGTTTTGTTATTGTTACGATCATCTAGTTCATGTTCGTTTCTGTGTGTGTTACATTTTAATGTTGTGTTTTTGTTGTGTCGTTGTTCTCCTCTTATATTTGATGCGTTTCCCTCAGTTTTAGTTTGTAACCCGGATTTGTTTTTACCTCTATCGATTTATGAGTTTCGAACAGCGGTATAGTACTGTTGCCTTTATTTATTCATGTAAAATTAACATGTTGAGAAATTATAGATAAAGAATACTTTTGCTATCAGACATTTGGAATTGTAATTAAACTTGGAGAGGCATGACCACAAGCATGTATGTATCCCGTATCTGTTTACCTTAACCATGTGCAATATTAATATGTCAGCATTTTCCCACCGTTGTATTCTTGTACGTGTTGTCATGTAGTTCAGTTATAATATTTGACTTAGTTAACAACAATAAAATGTAGTCTCTTTGCAAAGTCTGGATTATTTAGGTTTCTTATGGAACCACAGTTAGTCCCCAAATTACCATCCAAATGTGCCACGCAATAGTTATGTTGTTTACGTAAAGATGGTTGAAAGTAAAGTGTACTAATTTCACATTAAAATTATTGCTCGTGTGCATACAGGAATTGAATGCTTCATTTTATTGTTTATTGTGAGATAAAATAGTTTGCCAAAGCGCATTTTGTGCACGCTAGGCAGTTCTGTATACAATCAAATGTGCTCATGATCAAAGCTTTAAAAACCCTCTAAAACAAAAACAAAATTTTGCTTGTAGATTCTGTGGATATACGACCTGCAAACCTTAAGTATGTAAAATAATAAAAAAAAAAAAACCAAGAGTTTCAGTTTTATGATAGAAAAACATAGGATAAAGAAACTAAGAGAACATTCAAAACTAATGAATTAAAAATAACAACGCCATGGCAAAAACGAAAACTGACGAAGATACGAAAAAGTCTACAAAATACTACAATAAACAGATTGAACCAAACGCAAACCCAATACAAAACCTGGTGTGAACTCAAGTGCTCCGGAATGGTAAGTAGTTCCTACTGGTCATGTGACAAATCCGTCGTGTTGCTCATGCAAGTACTAATCCGATGATAAGTCACACAGGTGATTTCACAATCATGGCGGGGGGGGGGGGATGATGGGGATTGTTTTTACAACAAGTGGAACATAAATATTGCGTTTCTATTTTAAGCTTATCAAATATATCAGGTTTATATCTAAAATAAGACGCGCGTATTGTCTACTCCAGACATACCAACTGGACTCAGCTCCGAAACAAAATTATTTAGGAAGTTGAAAAGAATTGTAAACCAAACATTCAAAAAAATATGAGCCTGATCTGGCTTAGGTCATCCTTGGATTTGTTAAACCATAGTGTTTGAATACTTTTTACATGGTATGAACAATAAATGTTCATAAAATGACATTACTAATGATATTTCATGCAGCATCATGGCCAGAAATACGAACATTGTTGGTTGCTTTTTGTTTATTGTTTTGTCATAAACTATGCCGTTTTCGTTTGAATTGTTTCACATTTTGTCATGACTGGGCACTTTATAGCTGACTATGCGGTATGATTATTGCTAATTGTTGAAGGCCGTACGTTGACCTATAGTTGTTTAATTGACAATCATACATCATCTCATTATTTTATATATCAACCAGTAAAAAGAAAACAAAATGTATAATTTCACTAGGATATCTAAATAGTCATTTGTCCCAAAACCCAAAATGACTGCTACTATAAGGACATTGTTTACAGGAAATTTGTTTTCATAAAATTCCCAGTATTCATCTTGTTGTTGTTCTCATAATCAATTCATGATAACTTAATTCTTAAAATATCAAAGAATAACAACAATTTTGTGATCATTTTATCTAGAGCTAACAAATAAATCACATAAAGTTAAATCAAATGTTTTCTTCTTGGTACTATATATCTGTTCTATTGATCAACCATCTTCAAACAGATAAAGACCAAACAGACATAATTAAGCAACCAAGAATCCATGTAAACACTGATCTCCTCTGGAGAGAATCATTTTCAAGTGCCTTTTTTGATGTATGTGTTTCTTCAGTGACGTTCCCTGTCCAATAAAAATACGATATTAAAAAAAGTAGCAACTACATCATTTTTAAACATTAAGGTTTTTAGGAGGCAAATATCAGATGTGTTATATTTTACATATTTGTCTTATTGATCATTTATATAACCTATGGTTTATTCATTTTTTTGTAATTGAATTCAGATGGGAGCACGACTATGTTTATGTTTGTTTACTTTCTTTTTGAAAGGTTTTGAGACATTTTATCGATGTGCGGTTTAATTACATTGTTCTATTCCCGATTGTGACATCTTGATCGAGTATGGACTCGAATAGCAGATTATCAATACATAGCAAAAAAGGCTCACCCTATTGATACACCCGGTCTAACTACGTTTGGAGTTCATGTTATTACCCCAGTTATTGTTCGTTACCTTGAGTTTTCTCTTAATAGATTTACGAGATTCGAATATCGGTAAAATACTGTTGCCTAAAATTGCTCTACTTGGAAAAAATGTTGACATGAATATCAATTATATGGTCATTTTTATAAATTTACTAATTGCAAAAGTATGAATTATTCGAAATACTCAGGATTTTCTTTTCCCGGGCATAGATTACCTTAGCCGTATTTGGCACAACTTTTTGGAATTTTGGGTCCTCAATGCTCTTCAACTTTGTACTTGTTTTGGTTTTCTAACTTTTTCGATCTGAGCGTCCCTGATGAGTCTTATGTAGACGAAACGCGCGTCTGGTGTATGAAATTATAAGCCTGGTACCTTTGATAACTATAGAAAAGTATGATTTAAGATTTCCTTTGTTTACACTTTTCAAATATAGCTCGGATGAAACGGAAGGATATCAATTAATAATAGTGATTATAAACCTACCATTACGAATCTTTTATTTCAACTATGAATATCGAGTTTTATAGTTATCACAACCGTATTTGTTTTATTTTCATACTAGTTCCAGTTTTTTTCACTACTTCTATTTCTGGCAAACTTAAGAACTACCATGAATGAGAAAAAGCAAAGCGAATTTGTTTTCATACAAATGTCCTTGACACAAGGACTCCTTTAACTGTACAAAATTTCGATCTCTCCGTTTGCTCCTTTGAATTAAAATAATGACTCAGTTTGCCATTTATGCTCTTTTAATGAAGTCGACAATAGTTTACTGATATTCAAATACCGTAAATTGGTAAAGGAGAGACATATCAAGGTAAGAAACAGAAACAACTGAGGGAATTGAATGATTTCCAAAAGGAGTGAGACCGGTCCTCAGCTTGTCATACAACACTCTCTTAAAACAGGAGCGTAGTTTGTCTAACAAAGACGGTGGATGACACTATCAATTTGCAAGAACATTCTTTATTTGTGATATCTTCGATATGCAATATGACAGTCGGTTTCCATTCGTTTGATGTGTTTGAGCTTTTAATTTTGCCATTTGTGAAGGTACTTTCCGTTTTGATTTTCCATGGAGATCGTTTTTTTTTTTTGTGTTATTTAACTATTGAATTGAATTAGTTTCAAACGGAAATAATATAACACGAAATTTGGATACTGTGAAAAAACATTCAAAGACTTGTTAAAATACGTGCAATCTATGTCTCTTTCCTCTTTCAATTGTTTAAAAACATCTATCTTCCCTTTATTCCCTATTTTAAGTATAAGTGTATTCACTATACGTTAATTGACTAGATGCTTGAATGCAATCCGATTGCTAAAATACATCAAATATTACCAGAACAAAATTCATATCATTTTATCATTACCTGCAGTTGGCGACATCGTGTTTATTGTCACAGGGCCTTCAGTAAAGGGTGAAAAGAAAAAGGACTCATTTATGCCTTCTTGTACACCCACTGACATAAGTAAATAGATATGAATAATGCAAAATTAAAAGTAACCGCAGTTGATGCTATAACGGAAGAAACAATTATGGCAGTCAGCAACAAACGGCAGCCACTGAATTACATACTTCTGACTTGCGACAGGCATATGGAGTGTGTGGCGTGGTTAAACATTTTTGTGGCCTCTCAATATTGCCCTAAACCTGTAACCGGTGTTACAGCACAATAGAAGAGGAAATTGTTATAATATCATTTGGAAAGAGTTTCACTCATCGCATTGGTACCAAGCACAATATAATTAACAAATAGAAAAATACACGAACTACCGATCTAAGACAACTCGTAGCTACTGTAGGATTGACTAAGTTCATACTCCAATTTTACTAATCCAGTGATTGTACGAGTGAATTGGTTTGTGTGTGTGTATGTGGCGCCAAAGCCTTTTACTAAATTGTTTCGTTCTGTTGTGTTTGTACGTGTGTTTACTTAACGCTTTAACGATGGTTTATGCATGTTGTGTTGTATGAACGTGGTTTCACAACATAATAATAGTAAGTAGGATTTTGCTTATCTGGTGGTATATTTCAGCCACTCGCGGTTAACTGCGTTTACCTTTGTTATGACCGCAAGACTTCCACAATTGGATCTGTTTGTAAGATATTCGCAACTGTGCTCACCACATGTTTCACTTGATGATGTAAATATATGTATGTTTTAAGGTGCCGGAGGTTTCCATGCTGTTTTACTTGACGATATATGTGTGGGTATGTTTTAAGCTGCCCGAGGTAACCATGCTGTTTTACTTGATGATGTATGTCTGTGTGTGTTTTAAGCTGCCCGAGGTAACCATGCTGTTTTACTTGATGATGTATGTCTGTGTGAGTTATAAGCTGCCTGGGGTTACCATGCTGTTTTACGTTATAGTGTATGCATGTATGTGTGAGTTCAAGCTGCCTGAGGTTACATGTACCATCTTGTTTTAATTGATGATGATTGTCTCTGTGAGTTTATATTTGCCTGAGGTTATCATTCTGTTTTACTTGATTATGTATGCATGTACGTGTTAAAGGCTGCCTGAGGTAACCATGCTATTTTACTTGATGTTTTGTGTCTGTTTGGGTTTAAAGCTGCATGAGGTAACCATGCTTTTTAACTTATAATGTGTGTCTGTGTGTGTTTAAAGCTGCCCTAAGTTACCATCCTGGTTTATTTAATGTTGTATGTATGTGTGAGTTTTAACCTACCTGAGGTAACCATGCTGTCTTACTTGATAATGTATGCACGTCTGTGTTTTAGACTGCCTGAGGTAACCGTGCTAAATTACTTGATGATTTGTTTCTGTGTGAGTTTTAAGCTGCCTGAGGTTTCCATGCTGTTTTATTTGATGATGGATGTCTGTGTGTGTTTAAAGCTGCCTGAGTAACCAGCATGTTCTATTTGATGATGTATGTCTGTGTGTGTTTAAAGCTGCCTGAGTAATCAGCATGTTCTATTTGATGATGTATGTCTGTGTGTGTTTAAAGCTGCCTGAGTAACCAGCATGATTAATTTGATGATGTATGTCTGTGTGTGTTTAAAGCTGCCCGAGGTTACTACACTTTTACTTGATGATGTATGTATATAGGTGTTTAAGCAGCATGTTGTTACCACACTATTTATTTGATGATGTATATATAAATAAGAAAATGTGGTATGAGTGCCAATGAGACAATTCTCCTTCCAAGTCACAATGTATAAAAAGTTAACAATTATAGGTCAAAGTACGGTCTTTAACACGGAGCTTTGGCTCACACCGAACAGCAAGCTTTAAAAAGCCCAAAAAATGACTAGTGTAAAACAATTCAAACAGGAAAACCAACTGTCTAATCTATATAAAAAACGAGAATCGAGAAACACCATTAAACCACACTAACAAACGCCAACCACTGAACAACAGGCTCCTGAATTAGGACAGGTGCATAAACATGCAAGGGGTTTAAACGTTTTAACAGGCGCCAATCTATGTCTGTTCGTGTTTTAGGTAGCATGATGTTACCACACAATTTATTTGATGATGTATGTATATATGTGTTTAAAGCTGAGGTAACCATCCTAATTATTTGACGATATATGTCTGTGTTAGTTTTAATCCGCCTGAGGTTACCACACTATTTACTTGATGATGTATGTATATGTGTGTTTAAGCTGCCTGAGGTAACCATCCTGTTTCACTTAATGATGTATGTATGGGTGTGTTTTAAGCTGCCTGAGGTTTCCATGTTGTTTTACTTGATGATGTATGTATGTGTGAGTTTTAAGCTGCTTAAGGTAACCAGCCTGTTTTACTTAAAGATGTATGTCTGTGTTTGTCAAAAGCTGCCTGGGGTAAACATGCTGTTTTATTTCATGATGTAGGTCTGTGTGTCTTTTAAGCTGCCTTAGGTTACCACACTATTCATTTGATGGTGTATGTACGTGTGAGTTTTAAGCAGCCTGAGATTACAATACTGTTTTACCTCATTCTATTTGACAACTGATTGTGTTTTTCTTGGGTTTGTACATCTGGATATTGCGCTTTTTATAAAACAGTACTCGTCTTGTGTTTTCACCTGTGGTTACAATGACGCGTCACATACATGAGAAAAACTAGATTTAGGAAACTTACCTACATATATGTTATCCGATACATCTGCTTCCTCATCAGTGCTATTATTTGATCCTGAGTACTCTACATAGATAACATTACATGATATCAATATGCGTGTTAAAACACCCAACAAACATGTTTTAAGCTGCCTGAGGTTTCCATGCTGTTTTACTTGATGATGTATGTATGTGTGAGTTTTAAGCTGCTTAAGGTATTCTGTATAGAATCTTCTATTTAGTTCACACACCGATAATAGAGTGTTGGTAGGTCATCAAATCGCAATTTTATGGTTGGAAGCAAGACTTAAATATTTTATTGTAATGAATTTCTTTACAGGTTTATTCAAATGATTGCAAAGAATCCACCAATATTAGATAGAAGGATTTCTTGATTTTATATCAGCAAGTAAAAAACTTGCAGATTGCAGATAATTTGAGCATCCTTTAATATGGTATTGTTTACTATTATATGGCGTGTACTTGTGGATTTGTTAACATCTTACCCATTTTAAGATAAGGTGACGTGGTATGAGACAAAAATATATTTAAACCCAAGAAAATAGTGGCATCAAAGTGTGTAGTCGTAAGTGATTCTGGGTCTTACTTTGTTTTGTAAGTGTTGATCTTTTGAGTGGTGGAAACTACATTTTACTTATTTGATGTTTCTGAAGCTTTTTGGAATTACTTCCTTCAGATCGCTCATTCCCCGACACTAAAATGCCAAATGTGTATAAATGATTGTTTAAGAGGAGGAAAAGGTATACATACTTAAAAAAAACATGAGGACCTATATAACTAAAGGGTCATTAAGAGAAAATGAAAATCCACTTATGATCAACTTTTCTAGATGAAGTCGGAACCTTAGTGTCTTAATATTTTCCGAATTTATCACCAGGGAGTTCTATGAAAAGTTTGTTTTCAATCATTTTAGTGTCAAGCCAACAACTACTTATATTTTCGGGAAATATCAGTCCAACATCATTGGTTTCGCCAATTGCTAATAAATCTGAAGCGATATATCTTCACTAGGTCGGTCATTGTTTTATGTGATGTTTACATTCTGACGTCAAACACGCTATTCTAAGCCAGAGTTAATGTTAAAATTACGATTCGGTCCAAGAGCTTAAAATCCCTCGATCCTTTATGGGTTGATTTGGCATACATAAATAAAATACAAAAATAAGTAAGCAATAAACGAGGTTGTTAATTGTAATATATGCTTTTTTGTACTTCTTTGTTAAATATTTGTTCGTTTTTGTTGTGATTAAGATTGTGACACGGTGTTGACTGCTGTACCCCTATTTTACATTTTTACCTATTATGTCTGTTTGTTTGATTCAAGCATCGTTGTCAAGATAATGAAATTTGATTCGACTGTCATACAAGTGAGAGGTTTAGCGCTATAAAACCAGGTTCAATCCACCATTTTCTACAAGAAAATACCTGTACCAAGTCAGGAATATGACAGTTGTTGTCCATTCGTTTGATGTGTTCGTGCTTTTGATTTTGCCATTTGATTAGGGACTTTCCGTTTTGGATTTTCTTCGGAGTTCAGTATTTTTGTGATTTAACTTTTCTTTGTACATAAATGAGGCAGTCGTTTTTTACATTTTGTCATGTTGGGACCTTTCATGGCTTATAACTTATGAGATTTGCTTATTGTTGGAGGTCGTACAGTGACCTATAGTTGTTTACATCCACGTCATTTGATCTCCTGTGGGTTTGTGGATGGTTGTCTTATTGACATTGATATCACATCTCCAGAACAGAATGATTATAACATAGGAAAAGACAAAAGTTTACCATGAAAAGTACAGTAAACATGGTTATTAGAATACATCTATACGTATACATGTATGCTTTAAAAATAGACAGGAACTGATTAGAGTGTGTCTAAAAGTTTGTTGTAATAATGACTGGTCAAACGTTTACATTAAACCAACATATCATAACGTTGTTAGTTATTCAAAGTTACACTTTGTTTGTCGATAAGGAAAATGTCGGGAAATACATGACCTTAACTGGATTCAAGAAACATACCCATGGTATCCGATAATTCTGCCTCTTCCTCATCCATGTTATCCAATACTTCCTCCCTAGTGCTTTTAAACTCGTTTGATCCCAAATATCCTACACAGAAAAAAATTAAGGTACTTGATAATATACATTTTTGTTGCAAACTATAAAGGTTCTAATATTTATTCACATGATTTAATTTTATTCTATTTCATTATTTGTTTGCATAAATGCCGAATGATGTATGCATGCATGGAGGGGTAGGCATACATTTATAAATACAAAACAAATGTGTAATGCGTGGTGCGTTTCAGGTTCTAGGGCCGTTAGCCCGTTTTCTAAACATTTGAAATGAAAAAAATAGCAGTTTATTACAAAGATATGAGAGTATATCACACCAGTGTACATATATTTCAGACAAGTGGTTATGGTAGCACTCTTGCGGCCCGTAAATCCCTCATCAATTAAATCAATCAGGTTTATATTTTTCTGAAATGAATGCACACTCGGTACATTTCAATTCGCAAAACCAACCGAACATATGCAAGTTTAAAATATGTCCTTGATAACAGAAGAAACTATTATCATGACCGCCTAACTAAAATTAATCGCCCATATTTGTAAGACTCAGAACGACGTCTGGTCTCTAATCGACGTCCGTTTGTCGAATAGACGTCAAATCTGACGTCAAAATGAAAAAAACAAACAGATTCCAAATCGACGGCCAATTATATTCCAAATCTAATTGACGCCTTTCATTCTTTCTCAAATCGACGTCCAAATTTTAACCTCACTATTCGACGTCATTTTTACGTCATTGCCCCCTTCTCAACTGTATCAAATGATGTCATTTATGGCTTCAACAATTGAACAAGACACACTTCGTAATTATGAATCAGTTTTAGAGAGAACGATAACTTAAGTAAAGGAACAAAACAGCAAATAGGGACCTAAAAGGGTCATCAGATAACACATACTCGAATAACCCGAGAGAATTGTGAAGACCATTATGAGTCAATATTTCATGACCAAGGTACCAAATCAAATGTCCAAGTAATCAGCAGATTTGATTGTTCCCAATAGAAAATGCGTTAATGAGTTAGTGCATATGATAGAAGAAAACCACAAAAAAAACCACAGAAACGTTGGTGCAATCTGGTTGTTTTGTTGTCATTTATTGATGTTCGTCCTTTTATTTTGATTGAGTTGGGTATTTGGAAAGTGATGTTGTCTTCTTTTTTATTCTTTATCATATACGTCAAGTTTCAAGTCCATTATGATTTCGCTCTACATATCACTGTTTTTATATGGTACTTGATTCAAGGCAGATGGAAAGTTAAATACATATGTTTATTCTTAATAAATTCTATTATTTACTAATCGTCGGGATGGTTAACTTATCTGGTGTATGTGTATGTGTTTATATGATATGCAAATTATTCATTTATGAAATGTCAACAAATATTTCTTTATACTTGAAATTCAAAGAGACGATACAGAAGGTTATGAGAAGATATGAAAGCCAAGCGAGGTATTTTTCCAATAAATTAAGGAATCTATAGAAGTGAACACGACATTGTCAAGAAAAGATATGTTAAAATAATGGTTATTTTTATTCATCAAATACCTTCGTTTCATTGGTAAAGTCCATAGAATAATATAACCTGTTGGAAGATACCACAAACAAATAATGGTTGCAGATAAGGTCACAGTAAGTCCAGAAATATCATTATTGATAGATATTCTATCTTTTAATGAGGGGTCTACTTTTTAAGACGCTGATCCACAAATGTCAAATATTGAAATTGTACAAGGTCGCGTATATCTATTTTCGTTATGGTGCAGTATAAGATTTATTGAAAAATAAAGCGGCGAATAAGAAAGAATAAAGTGGGTTTTATTTTCTTGCATATCAACATAATAAAGTAATTTGAGTTTGTTTTCAGTAACTGCAAAATTCTTTGATACTTTAATAACTAGATCGTTTGCACTGTACCGTTTGTAGCCATAAAGCCATAGCTTGTGAGATTTTTTATTCATTTCTCGTCCTTTTTTGTTTCGAAATTGTTCGGACTGTGTATAAGAATCCTCAAACCCACATATTACAAAAAAAATTCTTTATTAAAGCCACCTTTTTTTTTAATTGGCAAACAAGAATGTTCGATTTCTAGGACTGAGGTATAATTTTTGTAACCCTTCATTTCTGATAGTTAAATTACTAGATAGTTTGATTACAATTACTTGAATATAAAAATATTTATTAAGTTGAAATCCCGTGTGATAACCCGACGGAAATGATAACCTTATACATGAAATTTTAAACAAAAATGTCTCCCCCGCCAAAAAAACAACAATAAATGACACTGAAAATTCCTAATTCAACATAAAGCTGTAAAATACAAATGAACACATTCTTGGGCGTCTGTTGTGCTGTAATACCGTTGTCCAGGTAAGGCAAAGGGTTGCGCTTTGCAAATAAAGGCAATAGTAGTTTACCGCTGTTCAATGGTCATAAATCGATTAAACTGAAACAAATCCGGGTCACAAACCAAAACTGAGAGAACACATCAAATATAACAGAAAACAAAACGGAACAGAAACACTGAACTGCTACAAAAACAAACACCAACTTGCATGAAAACGGACTATGTGGTAACAACTGCCATATTCAAGACTTGGTACAGGACATTTTAAGAAAAAATGGTGGGTTGAACCTTGTTTTATGGCTAGTAAAACCTCCCGCTTATATGGCAATGTTAAAAATACCGCTAAAATGACAACATTACGTGACAGGAATACAGTACAAATAAATGTAAGAACATTCAGGACAGAGAAATACATAAATAAATATCCACTACATTCTGTGTGTGTCTGTCCAAAATCAGGGGCCTGTAATTCAGTGGTTGTCGTTGTTGCTGTCTATCATGTTTGTTTTTCAAATATTGTTGTCTACATAAACCAGCGTTAGTTATCTCAATTTACTTGTTTTACATTTATTGCTTATTATTCGATATGGATTTTGCTCATTTGTGAACACCGTACGGTGACCTATAGTTGTCTAAATCTACCTCATTTGGTGTCTGTTAGAAAGTTGTGTCAATGGAATTCATATCCCATCTTTTTTTGGTGTAAATGTTTTATATTTGATACAAAATGACGCCACATATAGGATAACTTTTGAGTTTTGTTTCTGTAAAACTGATCAAGATTCTAGTTTATCAATAGATTAATATTTTGCACAAATTCATTTCGAAATATAACTGAAATAAACTTTGCCTGAAGATATTTCTGGAGAGCTAGTCGTGGTTGAAGTCGTGATCACAGTAGTTGAAGACTGATGGTTTCCATTTTTCTCCGATGAACGTGCATTATAATCTGGTTTTGGAACTGAAATCATATTAAAAAAAAGTATGATATACATATATGTGATGTATTCAGGTGTGTTAGATAACCTGATATAAATAACGTACTGATAAATGTGATATAATAATACGCTATCCAATTTTAACAAGAAAAATTTGCTTTTCTCTTTGTATTTTGAGTACTACAATTTTCATATAATACAATATATATAAGTATGTGGTAAGCGGCTGTAATATAGACTGATACGATTGGTCAATATAAGTGTTTTAGAAACTTCTAAGTACACCTTCAATTGAGCTTGTAGTTGATATTGGAAACATGTGGGGAAACAATTACTTTAATTATGTCAAATAACTCCTGAATCATTGATGTACTTAAAAAGAACAAAATAATGACTTGTGCTATGGGCATTATGAATTCAGGAAGTTATCGCAGTTTAAATCAATAGTGCTGTTATAAGGGTAAAGAATACAAATCCACTAACGCTTGTTCTCAATAAATGCATTTGAGGAAAAACACGACCGATTTTGTTTATAATTACGCATTAATATCTCATCAATATATACTTGGTAAGATTACCATTTCCTGGATGATATCTATATTTCCCTTTTTTCTTCTCGGAATTTTCAAACAGATGGATAAATTCAGGAGCGAAAGTAAAAATCATCGTTTTCATATTTAGGACAATGTATTTATAATAAATAATGCTAAACTCTATCCTAAATTTTATATACATTTGCACTACTTCTCCTCTTCTAATTTTAGCGTTCTTGTCCTTAGTGGTAAGGAACCGTTGACAGTTTTTACCTATTGTATATTTTGCATCTACTTCGTTATGCAAGTGTTAGCAATAATGTTTCAGATTTCAATAAACGTTATACTTTCAGTGAACGAAAACGTTTAACAATATTGATTAAGATATTAAATATTGATAAACAATTTGACTATTATACAAATATATGGGTTTATTGTAAAAATTGAGTTAACAAAGTTACAGAATTTTCCAAAAAGGTTGCTTTCAGTATCAGTGCGGATTTTGGAGGGTTTGTGTTGCTCAGTCTTTTGTTTTCTATGTTATATTTTGTATACTGTTGTTTGTCTAATGTTCTTATCGTTTTTTGCCATTGCGTTGTCAGTTTGTTTTCGACTTATGAATTTGAATATCCCTTTAGTATTTTCGCCTCTCTCCTGATATTGTTATATTTATTATCGTTTTAACTCTACCAGTGTTTTTCTAAACTGAATCTTGTACACTTTCTTATATATATCATTTCTTTATGGTTGATATTAAAAATTGTAAGCGTTTTTGGATTTTTACAATTACCTATCCCCTCAACATGAAATGAATCTCAACAATTGATGTCTATAGTTTTTTTTTAATATCATTTGTTCATTTGGTGTTGATTTGTATCTTTCATAGTTTACTTTCGTTCCGTTATTCACAACTATTTTTAGTACCTACATAATATTATATTGTCCCAGCCACTATCTACACCACCACCTCCTATTTTTCCTGGACCTGTATAGATTGTAATAAATATAAAATCAAAGGAACATCAAGTGCAATAATGCAACGTAAAAACATGTCCTTTTAATAAAATAAATAACTAGATCAAAGTTTCAGATTTATAACTTCGCACTCAAGACCCAAGTTTCGATTACATTTGAGTTCATCATTATCGCTCAAATCAGTATAATTGGAAGACCATATTAATCACATAGTAAAAAGTACTGAAACAAAATAAATCATCTAAATGGTGATGAATATTGTCATCTACAATGAATGCCTGCTTGTACAAAATAGGTATTTCTAAATATTTAAAAACTTTAAAACTGAACGTTAAAGTTATGGAAAGAAAAAGAAAAAAAAACATTGCCTGGTCATAAGTTAATGAAGTTATCGATGTTTACGTGAAATTGTACAACAAATGTCGGTATCCGTTTTATGTGAGTGTGTGTGTGTGTGTGTGTGTGTTTGTGTGTATGTGTGTGTGCGGAAGCCACAGCGTAAGGGATCGTGTCTTAATAGTACCACACTACCAATATATGTAAGCGTTTGTATTCATGTGCTTTCTTTCTCCCTGGTGTTTTGAATGTTTATTAATCACATGTCCTACTGAATGGTGTATGCCGCTAGTTTTTGTAGGTTTTTTGCCCACATTATCTACTAGATATTGCTATTCATTCGTAGTGTTGTAAATGTGTGGTTTGTAGTTACCAGTTTTATTCCTTGCTTGTGTCTGCCTTGCGTTTGTGACAGTTGTCCTGGTGTTTTCACGTGTTTTGCGATAACAATATTTACAGGACAGTTTTCATCTTTGTGAAGTTGGTTCGTATTGAGACGCTGTCATATACTTGATGGCCTCTGTGTGGCGATTCAACTTAACTGTTTTTCCCAAAACATTTATCGGATATTGCTCTGTTTTTGTTTTTTTCAAACATTGTTTACGTCGTTTAAGACGACCCAACATTCTGTGTTGACATGAAATAACATTGATATGATATTATTAATCAGATAACTGTTTGAAAACCAAGCATTTTCCACCCCAGGAGCAGATTACCTTAGCTTTATTTTACAAAATCTTTTGGAATTGCTTTTTAACTTCATACTTGATTTTGCCTTTAAAGCTAAGTCTTCTGATTCGAGCGTCACTGACGGGCCTTTTTTTACGACGAAACGTGCGTCTGGTGTTCAACATTATAAGCCGGGCATCTTAGCTGATTTGATTTGATGACAAACATCCAGCAGCCAATATTACTCTCATATTCAGGACGATAATATGTAATATGTAACATAGATAAGTTTCAAATAAACTCTGCAAGTTGACAATTTAAGTCTGGGTTGAGCAGGTCATCTTGTCATTCACCAATATGTGTTTAGGGTTGGGGTTTGACATACCATTGCATTATATTGAACAATTAATTATATGAGGGTGATGGGCATGACCCCGGGCCATTTCCTGAGGCACAATTAAAAGGTTTGTAATAGAAAGCAAATATAACTATGATTGTATGGTGACTATGACAATGTTCCTACATAAAGTCCATTATTTGTTGAGGTTAAGGTCGTCTTCATTTGAACACAACACAGTGTCTTAAGATAATGTACTGAAGAGCTAAATATCAATCCCTATGTCAAAGTATATAAAAAGGTATATTACGGTTACGGAAATCTAAGGTCAAAGTTAAGGTCTCACGAGGGTCACAATGATACGCTGCATACAGTCTCATGGTAAATGTAATATTACTTCATATTTAACTCTATCCCAAAATTTAACAACAGGGATTCAGATATTAAAAATGTGACAATATTTCTATTGTTATTTTACAAATATATGATTTTTATTGTAAAATGAGACTTCACCCCAAGTACAGGATTTTCAAAAAGAGGTTTCTTTTAGTATCTGAAAGCATCAATTGATAGTGTATGATTATTCTCGTTTTACTTCTACCTATGTTTTCTGAACTGATTTTTATAACACTCTCTTTTATATAGAATTTCTCACTGGTCGGTATTAAAAAGGGCAAGACAGTTGGAACTTTAAAATTAGTAACCCCGCAACATGAAATGAACCTCGACAATTTTGTCTTAAGTTATTTGTTAATATTATGTGGGGTTTTTTTTTATTTGGTGTTGACTGAGTTTTCGTTAGTTCCGTTATTCACAACTCTTCTAGACGCTGGGAAGTATAAGGCTCGACGTATGTTATAACCAATCGACTTATTTTGAAGTATGGTAAGTACACCTGTTTTGTTACTATTTTTTTTTTCTCGAATCGTGTATCATCCACTGAATGTTTAATTCTCTCATCATAATAGTTAGTTTGATATCCCCTACCATATATATTGTGTGTGTGTTATATAAAAATAAAAAGATATGGTATGATTGCCAATGAGACAACTCTGCAACAGAGACCAAATGACATAGAACTTTACAGTTATAGGGTCTAGGTTGTTTATTTCTTAAACGCATTTGTTCTTACATAGCTAAATATTTACATATTTGTTTCAGTACCTATATAATGTTCTATTTATTGTTATTGTACCTACCAAAACCATCATCAGGTCTACAATAACTTTTAATCATCCCTGACGAATCTAGTGTAAAAACCAGTAGAGCATGTAAAGATTGTAAAATATATATATTCAAGGGAACATCAATTGTTTTATCAAGTGCAACAAGGCAACGTAGAATTATGTCCTTTTCATCAAAATAAACGACCAGAAGAAAAATATAAAGTAATCAAAGATACCCGATTTATAACTTCAAATGACAGACCCTAGTTTAGTTTACATTAGTTTTTATCAAAGTCACATAAATCAAAATTATTAGAAAACTATGTCTACTACGAAAGTGAAAGGCATTGAAAACAAAAAAAACAATCAACCGAATTGTGCCAAATCTGGTAAAGGCTATCTTCTACGTATGCCTGCCTGTAGAAAATGTCGGCATTTCGAAATATTTTAACACTTATTGAACGGTTTAGTTATGGTAAAAAAAAGTAACAATGACAAGCCGAAAATTAATGATGTCATTGATGTATACGTGATGCTGCAATAAACTGGTCGGAATCCGTTTTATTTGTGTTTGTGTGTGATAGCCACAGCGTAAAGGAAAGTGTCTAAAAAGTACAACACTACCAAAATATGCAAGTGTTTATATTTATGTACTTATTCCCTCTGTGTGCGTTTTGAATTTGTGCTAACACCATTACTTACAGGATGGTTCACGTCGCTGGTGTTTGTGCGCGCTCACCTTATTTACTAGAAGGTGTTTAAGTGATATATCTGTGAATTTTAGGGTTGTAAATGTTGTTTTCGTGGTAACCAGTTAGATTTCTGGCTTTGTCTGTCTTGCATTTGTGACACTTGTCTTGGTGTTTTCATGTGTGTTGCAAAAACACTATTTACAGAAAGGTTTTTATCTGTGTGATGTTTGTTCGTACCGCGATCCTATCTTATACTTGATGGCGTCTGTGAAGCGATTTATCTTAATTGTTTTTGCTCAAAATATTTATCGGATATTGTGTCCTGATTTTTTTTTTTTTTTTTCGTGTTGTAAAAAATTGTTCACGGCGTTTAAGATAGCCAAGCATTCTGTGTTGACATGAAATATCATTGATATGCTTACAATTATCAGTTAATTGCTATTCATTATTCAGAAAGATGTTGACGCAGGAAAAAGTAATAATGTAAACTAAAGTTATGACACATACCTATATTATTCGAGAATTCCTCATCTACGGCTCTATTTAATCCGTTGTAGCCTGAGTAAAAAGATAATAATATATGAAATTCGATATGGAAGAAAAAAATATCATGCTAACACATATAGGAATGTCTCTACAAAATCAGTTCACATGTGCGCATTTCATTATTTCTCCCTTGTTAGCGGTGCTCCAAAGCAATATCGGAAATCAGAAAATATCAAATGTTGAAGAGCAATAGAAACTTAAGCATCACTAAAAAGGACATCAGCTATGGGAAATTTGTGTTTTGGTATCGAAAATATTTAACGTGTAAATTTGTTATGGTATTTTGATAATTGATTTTTAGTCGCACACGACAAACATTTATAATATAACAAAGAAAGTTGTCATTGAGTACAATTGATGTAATATATTTTCACCAAATACTAGTACGCCAATACTATCTGATAAATCTTCTGCATACGTGTTACAAAGCTCTTTTAGCTTGAGCGAAATTTGATAAATATAACATTAATTGGATAATATTGATAGTTCTTAATTGAATAAAAAAGAGATGTGTGGTATAAGTCAACGAGAAAGCAAATCAACGACGAATAATAACCAAAAGTTAGTACTGCTGTTTAAGAATTTAAAAAGGATTGTTTGGTGAAAACGCACTCTCCATGTCGTTGTTTATAATTAAGACGTTTATCAGACATGATAAAAAAAACAACTGGGACTCTGTGTATCATTAAAATATATCAAATAATTATACGTTACAGTGGAGATATTCATTATTAACCCAAAGGAAACGTGATACGGAATATAAGTTGAGGTGCCATATTCGAAAATGTATTCCCAATAAGTGAAAGAGTCCCATAATTCAATTTCGGCTGGCATCTTTTTAATGTTATACTTTTATGAAATTGTGTATGTATATATATTTTAATGGATGGTTACACTGTAATAAGATAAAGCATTAAATTTAATTTAATTCAATTTATAAGAAGCATGTTAAATCATGAAAAGACATGCAGACTCTGGAATATCGTATTACGTCCTGATGTAGTGATGCTGCATACGAGAACAACTTCACAATAGGAAAATTAAATTCATATTTTTGTTGAAGTTTAGTTTTCAACCGACTCTCAAGATATAAAGCAGACTTAAGTGTGTTTTTTGTATACTTTTTTGCAAGTTCAGTTGGATAAAAGTCATCAGCAACTAGCTTCTGACATTCTTCTTAAGAGGTTTTTTTCTTAAAAAATATTAATGAAAATAATTAAGTAGAGCTCATCCAAAAATTATCGCGGTTTATCTCAGCTTTACGCAAAATTGTAAGAAAATCTGGGATTGACTCGAGGAGATCCAGGTCTAAGTTACATAAGTAAGGTTTAAATAAAGTGATTATGGCGTGCCGTACATCCGTGTTAATTTTGACATTAGTGTAAACATATTTAATTTAGGAATTCGTTATGTATACCTACAAAGGTAAATACATACGAAATACACAAGTAATTCAATAATTGGGATTATGAAACAAGAGCAGTGCTGTTATATAAACCCGTTTACCACTGTTTCTAAACTACCACGGCAAAAAATGCTTGGACTCAATAGTATCTAATATCCGGTACGGTGACGGACCAATAAACAGCCAGTGAAAAGGTAGGATTTCTGTTAATTTAATTGTTATTTTTATGATATTGAAGAATATGCATACACGTATAACTATTTTCGATTGTGAGATGTAATATTTTCTTCAACCGTTCTAGATTCAGGGGGAAATAAGTAAAAAGGCACATCAAAATGGTAAATTGAGTGAACCTTGCCTCGAATTTGTTTAATTTCTCTTTAAATTGTGAACATTGTACGGAAAGAAAAATATTAACACGGAGATCGCAAGACTAGTCACTTTGATCACCTCAATATTTGTATTTCTGTGCAAGGAACAAAAGAAAAAGGTCATGTCAAAATTGAAGGACCCGGTTTTGTCAATGTGTACGACCCGGTTTATTCCTAAAATTTCACAAATCAGGACCAGGTTTTCTCATTGAAAATAATGCATAATCGGGAGACTTTTGGTGGATCGTTGGAAAACGATTTCTTTCAGAGGATAACTTATCATTTATTTGAATCCGTAAACCCTTGAATTCCTGCTTTAATGGAACAAAAATAATTTCATTTTTGCTTTGTTTAAATTGGAATACTTTAACGGCGAAATACAAAGAAATGAAGGTTTTGTAACACAATTTGATTTGATTTTTTTTTTATATGAATGATGTAAATCTAAGTGTCCAAACTAGGATAATGTACGGCCTTGAAAATTGAAGGACGGACATTTGATATGTGATTTTCTTGGACAGCAGGATGGTTATCAATAAATATCACACTCTACCGACGGCAGCAGTGTGATCGTTTGAAAATGAATATTCTGAACACAAAATGTTCATTAGAACGCAAGAGAATAAGATAAAGGAATATGCATTCAGAATCGCCCTAGAAAATGAATTTCCATGCGGCGCAAAGAATCACAATAATAATGCGTTACAAATTTTTTTGCCCCTCCTTGTAACTACTTTACTAAATATAAAATAGTAGAATAGTCTCAGGCCATCCGGAAAATACAATAGTGATTATTTTGTTGATAATATTATAAATAATTAAACGGTTCTTTGTTTGGACGATTTTATGCTAAAAAGTCATATATAAATCGTGAAAAAAACATGATATAATATTTTTTAGAGTTATCAAAAGGGGGCGTACTCACTCTACACCCCTGGATCCGCCTCTGATATAATATAACTATATTGTTTACCATTATGAAATATAATAAAAAAAAAGAGGGCACAACTTTGAGTGCCAATCGCGCATTTACTACACAGACTCTGTAATCGAATGAGTTAAGTCTTTTTCAACTGATTTTAATCATTTGTTCTTATGTTGTGTTGTTATAACACTTTTCTTTTTTGTGGGGGAGGGTGTGGCGTTAACACGTTCAACCCCGCAATTCTGTACGTGTCATTCCAGAATCCTGGAGTCAGTTGTTGTTGTCTTTTGCTGCTTTATATGATATTTGTTTTTCGTTTTTTTGTTTGTTTTGTACATAATCAGGACGTTAGTTTTCTCCTTTGAAATTTTTTTTACATTTTTCATTTCGGGGCCTTTTTCATTAGTTCTCATTGTTGGATGCCATACGGTAATCTATATTTGCTAACTTTTACGTCATTTGGTCTCTGATGGAAAGTTGACTCATTGCATTTTTCACGGGTAAGTGGCCAATTAGGTTGTTCTAAATAAGACGAAGATAAATTGACGTTAGTATGTTGCAAACCAACTTTTATTCACCTTGCAAATACATAATTGTATTATACGTTTATTTCAAACTAGTATAGAAAACAAACAAACATCATAATGTTATTAAAGAATTAATGTAAGTGCGCGGTATAAAGTATTCATATTCCATTTAGACTTAGTTCGAAGATAGGTGCAATAAGGTATACGTATAGCATTCGAAAAATGTGTACTCCCTGTTTCGAAAAGTTTCCGTTTTAAATTTTAACACGACAGGTTTGTTTTACAATAACATCTATGCTCATACATTTAATTTCTTTCGACGGACAATGTTCAGATCCGTGTTAACATTGCTTTTCATAAATTTGTGGTTTCAAAACAAAACAAAACCGGGACCTATACAAAGACAAAACCGGGTCCTTATGTAGTAAACAACATTGACAAAACCGGGACCTATATGAAAGACAAAACCGGGTCCATATGTAGTAAACAACATTGACAAAACCGGGTCCATCAATTTTGAGCATAACGAACGAGTTGTGATATATAAACACAGTAAGATTATGCCAAAGGAACATCACCGTCCAAAAAAGGAAAATTAACAATAGGGAAAAAAATCATCCCATTTTCGTAAAAGTTTCTGGTGTATAATTGAAATATCTAAATCTAGAAAAGGACACTTATTGCTGTTAATATTTAACTGTTTAAAATGCGTCCAGACAATATCAGAATAAGTTAATTCTGCAATGCATAACGAATGTTTAGAATTTGTTCAAACAAATTCAGACAGTGTATAGACTGTTAAGAATGTATTGTAAACAAATGTTCAGACTGTTCAAACACAATGTAAGGAATAATAAGAATTATTTAAAAAAATAATGACAGTGTGAAGTAAAATTAGGGGAAATAATACTTTTCAAAATGTAAAATAAAGACAGACAGTAAACAAAATGTTATGTCAAAATCTTGTGACTTTGTACGGTTAGTTTCACAATACTTAAAATATTATAAACGGGAACTTTTGTAGTTGCCGCTCGGTACTGACATTATTTGTAAAATACTTTTTGAATTAAATTTTCGTTTGATAAATTGATATATCAGTTTAAAAATTAAATGTCCTACTTCCCTCAGGAAAAGTTGACACTATTTAATACTTGTTGTTTTTTTAGCCCCTTTTGGTCATAAAGCTCTTCGTGTGCTCATGTTGTTATACATCCTTATCGTTCAATATTTTGGGTATGAGCGTTCCAGATAAAAGGTAATCCATAATAGCGCTTCGTACGCAACAAATTTATAAAGTATGATTTACTTGATGAGTAAAAAGTGAAATAACAAAAATATCGAACTCCAAAGAAAATTCAAATCGGGAAGTCCCTTATCAAATGGCAAAATCAAAAGCCCTTACACATCAAACGAACGGAAAACAACTGTCGTATTCCTGACTTGGTACAGGCATTTTCTTATGTAGAAAATGGTGGATTAAACCTGGTTTTATAGCTAGCTAAACCTCATATACATTTATTTCTATTTTTTTGTCCAATAATGCATTTTTTACTTTTTGATGCAAAAAAGTGCAATTGTATTTTATCAATTTCAAACAAACGACAATGTCTAAATATATAGACATAAAAGGAAAAATTGTGATGCATAATGCTAGCAAAATATCAAGTTTTATGCAAATTCCCGAATTGATGTGGCAGATTTTCATTATATCAATATAGTAAAGAATTGAATTTATATCTCAGCAATATTGTTATCCACAAATGTTCCAATTTAGTTGTGACTTACTTTGCCAAAATTCTCCATCCAATTTTTATGATTTGTATTTTTAATCATTAGTGTACAATTTTAAATGCATAATAAAATTTACCATCAAGAGCTTGGATCTGATTGGTCGAGGTAAATCTAAGGACATCGTTCTTTCTATCATTTAGGGTAACAACATGTCTCATACTGTGTAATATATATCTAAATGGACTAAATTGGCATTCACTGAACTCTAGAATCTGGTCCACTGTGAAATAGGATGTTAACCCATTCATTTCATATCGTCTTGTTGAACATGATTTAATAACGCCTATGAAATAAGAGAGTCCAAAGGTATAAGAACTATATAGAGATCTTCACCATAGTTAACGTTTACATAATTCCTAATCCTCACTGTTTCCCGCTAAGAGAAAGATACAATTATAATAAATAATTACGTGTATTTCTTGGTAGCAATAAAACAAAGGTATTGCATTTGATCATACTGCATAAAAAGGTTTAGTCTGATTTTTTTCTCTGTTCATATAAATGTCTACCTTTCTCGCTGGCTTTGCTTTGTATTGTTGCTATATTGTCCTCTTAATGACTAATCAATAAAAATTCTTTTTACTCCGGAAGCAAAAATGAGAATTATATTGTAAAGTAAACTTATTAGGAGAAAGAAGCCTTGCTTGATTTCGACATTCCTAATCAAATGCCTCAATAGTCATGCTGTATTGTAAGATTTTTGTTATTTATAATACACATATGTGTATTGCCAACATGAAAGTTGATTAAAACTATACAATATAATACAAATGCCATATATATCTAGTTAAATCATAATACCTCTGGAAACGCTTTTGTGTTGTTCCTGGAAGCCATTGAATAATATACTGCCGACATAATCCGGGACTGTCCCTTTAACATATGTCTGAACTCTTAACTCTGACAAAAAGGTAAAGAACTGCTGTGTAATTACCACTATCTCGCCACTGTGATATGTGATATATGATGTTCTGTTCAGTTCTCCACCTAAAACAAGAAATTGGTTGTCAATTCAATTTTTTGTTCTTATCTGTTTTTTCCGACCCTTGTTTCTAGAATGTGAACGTGCATATAATTTTATACATACATGTATATTGAAATTTCTGGCCTAATTTGAATAAGAAAAAAACTCTCTTATCCTAAGACTACAATGTAGAGACAATTCCATTGTTGGTCGAATGCACACTTAATGAGATTTTTTTAGAAGCAACATACGAAAAAAAATGGCTGTTTAAATTGAAATTTGTATTTTTAAATTAACAAAGAACATTTAACTTTTCATAGGATTGATAAATAAAGGCAACAGTAGTATACCGGTGTTCAAAAGTCGTAAATCGATTAAGAGAAAAACAATTCCGGGTTACAAACTAAAACCGAGGGAAACACATCAACTATAAGAGGAAAACAAAGGAACAACAGGAACACTGAAGTGCAACAAAAACAAACGCCAACAAACATAGAAACGAACTATTTGATAACAACTGCCATATTCCTGACTTTTAAGGAAAATGGTGGGTTGAACCTGGTTTAATGGCTAGCTAAACCTCCCGCTTTATGACACTGTTAAAAAATGTCGCTAAAACACTACGTGACAGAAATACAGCACAAACACACGTAAGAACTTTCATCACAGAGAAACGCACAAACAAATAATATAATAGTCGACACAACATGCAAACCACAGAACAACAACGAAATATTCCATCAACGACAGACACCACAGGATATCAAAAACAATGACGCGCTATATAAAAAGGCGATGTCTGCTAAATCTTGCATCCTGCAAATTAGAGCTTATATTTTCCTAATTTGGTCTAGTGTCATGTCTGTGTTTGGGAAAATATCTATGAACTAATCTTTTTTTTTGTTCCAGTGTTCGAAGGCGCAGTGTTACCTTTGCAATACAGACAAACATAGTCTGAATTTGAATGTATCCATATAAGAATAATACATCTCATAGTGAACACACCTGTCATCATGAATCCGTTTTTAGCCTTCTTCCCCTGTGGAACAGCAAACATCCACCCAATGATGTCACCGATAGGCTGCAATATTTTCATCAATGCTCTCGCAGTGTTTTGTTTACGTCTTATAAGTGTTTCTATTCGTCCATTGGTTGTATATACATAAGAAAGTAAGTCCACATTCCCTATGGCTTTGTTGTTCAATACACCATTAACAATACCTCTCAGTATTAGTCTTTTCCCTATTCATGTAACGACAAAAGGTTTTAATTCATCGTCAGTCATGATCACGAAGATTGGCCTAGCATAATAATCGTAGTGCTAATAGGGATATTTCATTTTCAATTCTCGTCATTTCTCTAAGATTAAAAATGCACCAATACCATGATTTTAAAAATAAATTGGAAAATATTTGAAAAAGGTTAATTTTATTCAAGGTATCGTAAAAATAATATACAAAATTATGAATTACATATTAAATAGCAGTACTTACCTTAGGAGAGTTAAGAAACTTTACACTGCTCATGGTGGAAACAAAAGTCATTTTGTAACCACTTTAGATGTACACAAATTAGATAAGACAATAGTTAAATAATTTAAGATACGGAGAAAAAAGAATTCTATGTTTGATTGCTATACTAATTTACACTTTTTCAATACATTAACCTGTTTTCAAACATCGAATTCCATTCCCATAGAACGGCGTGTTACATTCGCAGCAGGCGGCAGTGTCAAGGTAGACATACTTGGCGTTGACATGACAGGTATCTGCTCCTTCTAAACATGCAGCAACACTCATAGAAACCCCAGATGCTGTTTCTGAAATACATCAAGTACACACTTCACTCTTATAAGGAGAAAGAAATATAACTCTTAGCAGGGAAATATTGATTTATGTATTAATTTTAACTACACATGCCTTTGCTGTCTAATTTCAGTGTAAGGTTCAACGACTATATTTGACATCTATATTTTATTATCTGTACAGTATATGTCTTTGTCATGACATAGGGGAATGAACGAAAAAGTCACTTTATTATAGTCCCTTCAATTCGAAAATCAAAACGTATTATAAATTCATAGAAGAACATCTTTCAAAAGATATCATGAAACTTCGAAATGGAAAAATACTTAATACTAAACTCGTTCAAAGGGTATCTACACGTCTCAATCTTCAAAATCGATTATCTAAAAATACTACAATCGTTAACATTTTCAATAACGAAAATCGTGGATACCCTTCTATCTATAAGTGTCATGCCAAAAAATGACTTACATGTCCCCGTCTTTCCACCAACAATACGATAAGGTCCACGTTTAATGGTCGCACATTTTCCCTAAATTCTGAAACTGATATCACTTGAAAAAATAACAGTATCATATATTTACTCACATGAAACAAACTGGAATGCGGTATTCAGTACGTAAGTGAAACGACGATATTTATCAAAACGCACGCAAAAACACCTTTATCGTTTTAAAAGACCCCATAAATTCAAAAGTATCATTTATCAACACCTTAAGAAGCACAATCATCCTTTTAAATATTTAACAGTTCAACCTTTAGAAGTATTTAATAAGTAGCCTGGGGAATCTCATTCAAAATTTGTACGATCACAAAAAATAATTGAATTAAATTGGATTAAAAAAATACAGACAGTCTATCCTCTCGGTCTTAACGACATGGGAATTGGTAATATATCTAGAACAGATTCTGTTAACATTTTGGATATAGTTTCTAAAACAGTACGTAAAAAACGTTCTCATGGGCGTAGAATAAATCGCAATCAAAAAAAATTTCGTAATAACAATACTAATATTTCGGACCTAATTTCTATTTAAAAAAACAACGGTAGACACTATCTATTAACCAAGCTCTGTTCTTTCCTGTTAATAAATTACATCAAATTTTGGAGGAATGCAACACAATTCCATATTGCAGTAATAAGTATGAAATCGTACAAATTATAATTGCATATTGTTATTCTAAATTGTTTCCCAAAATTAATCGCCCTGAAGATCACAAAAAACATTTTATCAAAATTAAATATGTCAATAAAGGTTTTGATTTTGTTAATATTGCCGGTATTTTTAACTATCATTCTGTTAAAGAACATATTCCTGGCTATTTTGATAATACCGAACTCCCTCTTATTTGTTATGTTTAAAAAAAATCTACCCGGAAATATGTGTTTAATTACAGCGAAGTGTGTAAAGATGTTAATATCAGTGACAATACACCTACCTGATGAAATTGCAGTAAATCCGAATACATTTATGGCCCCAGTTCCCATGTTATAACAGGAGACCTTAACATCGTTCGCGACCGAGAGTTGAAATCATTTATCAGTAAAGGACCTAAATATCGTCCCCCGTCAATTATTAATTGGAATGAGTGTCGTAACATCATCCTAGACTCACTCCGTATTTACTGCTCTAAATGGATAAAACGAGAAAAAGCTGACAAGAAATCACTAGATTTTTTTTTAATTCGGTAATGAACATAGTTGATATATGTATTCAACATCTTTAAGGATCATTTTACTCCTAACAACAACCATAATAGCCCAATTTCCCGTATCAAACATAAGCTAAAAGAACTCGCCAAGGAATACATTTTTGTCCCGGCTGATAAGGCTGCTAACAATATCATTATTGTTTGACGTAAATTTTACATTGATGTTCTACAAAAGGAAATCACGAATTCACCAACATTCTAACTGACTCCATTTTCGGAAAATGACATCTGCAACATACATAAACTTTTAGCTACCTCTTTACAAGCAGAACCAAATACAAGGAAAGTTCCAACTATGTACTGGCTTCCGAAGCTGCATAAAACTCCTTACAAATATAGATTTATTTTGTCTCCAAGTCATTGTTCCACTACAAACTATCTATTCTACTTACAAGTACACTTGGTACAATCAAAAACCTGGTAATAAATTGTTCAAATAAGGCCTTTGAAAATAGTGGAATTAATTACTTTTGTTGTGTCAAAAATTCGTTGGAAGTACTTGATAAATTACATGCTTATATAGCCAAGGCTCCGTGTTGAAGACCGTACTTTGACCTATAAAGGTTTACTTTTATAAATTTTGACTTGGATGGAGAGTTGTCTCATTGGCACTCATACCACATCTTCTTATATCTATTATATTGGTGATTTCGAATCTGTTCAAAGTTTTGATTTTTCTACCCTATATACCACGGTGCCTCATAATCTTATTAAGAAAAAATTCACACACCTGATTAAATGGGCATTTAAAAAGTCGGAATGCAAATATATATGTTCAAACTCTTTTAGGTCAGTTTTTAGTAACAACAAACAAAAGAACTATGTCAATTGGACCTGCTTTGATACTATAACTGCCCTTGAATTTTTACTAGATAACATTTTTGTTCGCTATGGAGATTCCGTATATCGTCAGGTTATCGGAATTCCCATGGGGACTAACTGTGCACCACTTATTGCGGACCTGTTTCTATATTGTTATGAGTTACAATTTATGACTAAAATCAGCAAAGACCCATCGAAACAACATCTGATTCAAAAATTTAATAACACTTTTAGATATTTAGATGATATATTGGCTCTCAATAATGACGACTTCAGTATGTACACTAAAGAGATTTATCCTACCGAATTGACTTTAAATAAAGCTAATACTAACAATTAACACTGCCCTTTCCTTGATCTTGATATCTTTATTTTTAACGGGAAACTTAATACCAAAATTTATGATAAAAGAGATGATTTTTCATTTCCTGTTGTTAATTATCCATTTTTAGATGATGACGTTCCCTTGTCGCCATCTTATGGTGTTTATATATCTCAACGTGTTCGATTCGCTCGTGTATGTAACAACGTATTTGATTTCAACAAAAGAAATCTCTGTATTACTGAAATATAATTACACCAGGGTTTTCGATATCACAAACTAGTCAAAACATTTACTAAAATTTATTATCGATACAAGGACATCATTCGTAAATACAAATCAACATGCAGACATCTTATACGTTCAGGTATTTCACATCCAATATTTTATGATAATATTCTTTACAAAGCACAATAATGTCGGCATTCACCTCAAAAGCTAACCAAACCTTTAAACAGACTTATTCGGAAAGGATATAGTTACGATACTGTTGTCAAGTCATTAAGGATTGCATATGTTGGTATTAATATTGATTCACTCATAGGGTCTTTGTATCGGAAATAAACACATTTATTCTAAAACCAGTTGTTGGCATGATACGGGTTATGTTCTTCTCATATATATTATGATGGTATGATACTTAACCCCTAACGAGAGGGATTGTACTTGATTTTCATATGATGAAGACATAATCTTTCAGTCAGTTTAATTGAGGTTTGGAGCTGGCATGTCAGTAACTGCTAGTAGTCCTTTGTTCATTTATGTATCATTGTCATTTTGCTTAGTTTCTTTTGTTACCTATTCTGACATCGGGCTCGAACTTCTTTTGAACTGAGTTTTACTGTGCGTATTGCTATGTGTTTCTTTTTTCTACATTGGCTAGAGGTATAGGGGGGGGGGGGGGGTTGAGATCTCACAAAACATGTTTAACCCCGCCGCAATTATGCGCCTGTCCCAAGTCAGGAGCCTCTGGCCTTTGTTAGTTTTGTGTGTTTTTTAATTTTAGTTCATTTATATGTTTTGGAGTTTAGTGTGACGTCCATTTTCACTGAACTAGTACACAATTTTATTTAGGGGCCAGCTGAGGACCATCTCCGGGTGCGGGATTTTCTCGCTGCATTGAAGACCCATTGGTGGCCTTCGGCTGTTGTCTGTTCTTTGGTCGGGTTGTTGTCTTTTTGACATATTCCCCATTTCCATTCTCAATTTTATTTGTTTGACAGATTTGTGGTTTCCCGGACGAATAAAGGTTATGCTAAAATTAATCTCGTAATAGTATTATCATGAATTTGATAATTTTGCTTTTTGCAACCCCAAAACCAACAAACCTTTTAAGACCTATTTTCTAACCTACTCAGTTGGTCTGAAGGAAAGCATCTTATATCAGCCAAAATATCACTAAAAATTAAAAAAAACAAATTGTCCGAAGAGCTTGAAAGCGAGATTATGAATATATACGAATAGCAGTATCTTTTTATGAACAACTCGAAGTTTTGGCGTTCCTATAAGTTCAAAATAAGAAATGTGAATAATGCCTGTCAACCAGTAATCTCTATAAATTCCTTACCGAGTTAAAAGATGTCTGAATTTAAAGATTTCATTTAAGGTCACATGTAAATAGGATTATACATAAATAAATACCGCCTACTTTTTGAATGATTTATTTAGAACCCTTCAAATCTTCTCCACTCCCAGATTAACCTGATTTATATCCTAAAGGAGATGTAGGGTATACGTCAAAAACACAACAACCACATACAAAAGGTAGCATACAGTCTTAAAAATAGGTTTATATACAATATATCATGCTCTTAATCGTCCTAAGTTAAGAAAATGTGAATAAATTTAACAGCAAACTTCCATCAACATGAAATTTTCCATATAACAAAAACAATATCACATAATACAACCACCGACGAGCTTCATTATTTACGACAGGCATATGCATATATTGCGGGGTCAGACTAGATATACGTTTTTTCTCTGATTGTATTCTCTCTATATACCGACTTCCCCAAGCTTTAATGAAGATTGCAATAAAGCTTAATGGAAGTCTACTCGTTTACAAAAAAATAAAATTCAATAGGTTTATGTTCAATAGTGAGCACTATTCCCATGTTAACGGAAAAACAGTGAAGACATATCTTTCGTCATATGCCAATATCTGTATGGGTATTTAAAAAAGGCAAAGACCAAACACATCTCTTGACTATATTTATTTTGCCTCGGTGGCATTGACGATGTTGACACGAAAATGAATAAATCATAACAGAAACTAAATGATAATACTATTGACCACGCCATCAACTCATCGCAATTCGCAAAAATAAAATATATTTATTAAATCTTTGTCTCTGAATTAAAGAATTCTACCACGTTAACAGATCTTGTAGTACAAATTCATAGACAAACAATATATTTAAAGCAGATTTGCTCAATGAATAAATGATAACGCAAAAATGCGATCACATGAGCGCATTATCCATTTCACCAACCAAAACTATAGTGAAAAAGACATAACAACTTCGGCCAATAAACTAGTACTATACATCTTCCACAATGGACACTCTCAAACATGGAAGATCTCTTTTATTGCTGATCATTTTCTCTGTGTACAGTTTCTCGCTATATAGGTTTTGCAAAAACACAAAAAAGGGCACAAATTGTCCTACTCCTATAGGAAAACAACTGGCTATTTCATATATCATAGACTATGTGTTGTCCTACTCCTATAGGAAAACAACTGGCTATTTCATATATCATAGACTATGTGTTGTCCTACTCCTATAGGAAAACAACTGGCTATTTCATATATCATAGACTATGTGTTGTCCTACTCCTATAGGACAACAACTGGCTATTTCATATATCATAGACTATGTGTTGTCCTTCTTCTATAGAAAAACAACTGGCTATTTCATATATCATAGACTATGTGTTGTCCTACTCCTATAGGACAACAACTGGCTTTTTCATATATCATAGACTATGTGTTGTCCTACTCCTATAGGAAAACAACTGTCTATTTCATATATCATAGACTATGTGTTGTCCTACTCCTATAGGAAAACAACTGGCTATTTCATATATCATAGACTATGTGTTGTCCTACTTCTATAGGACAACAACTGGCTATTTCATATATCATAGACTATGTGTTGTCCTACTCCTATAGGACAACAACTGGCTATTTCATATATCATAGACTATGTGTTGTCCTACTCCTATAGGAAAACAACTGGCTATTTCACATATCATAGACTATGTGTTGTCCTAATTCTATAGTAAAACAACTGGCTATTTCATATATCATAGACTATGTGCACCCACTCCTATAGGAAAACAACTGGCTATTTCATATATCATAGACTATGTGTTGTCCTACTCCTATAGGAAAACAACTGGCTATTTCATATATCATAGACTATGTGTTGTCCTACTTCTATAGGAAAACAACTGGCTATTTCATATATCATAGACTATCTGACATTTGTAGATCTCGTCTTGCTGAACTTTTGATATTTAAGGTTTCTATCAATCTATTACTGTTTTCCAATAAATGGGCAGAAATGGAATAATTGGAAAAAATTGTCTTTTAAGGGCACTAACTCCTATAAAAAACAACTGACTGTTTCATATATTGCTGACATATTTTCGGATTTTGTCTTGCTGATCATTATTGCGTTCAAATATTTTTAACTTCAATTATAGTTTTCCAGATTATAGAGCAAAACGTTTAAAATTGGTAAAAATGTCTTTTAAGGTCTTTAACTCCTATAAAGGGTTGACCAACGATTTCAGCAATTCGACTTATTTAAAGACTCTGTCTTGTGGATCATTTTTGCTATTTAAAGTTTCTCTCTACCCGTTATAGTTTAAATATAATAGGCATCCACACCAAACATTAATATAAACTGGCATTTAAGGGCAACTACTACTATGAAGAGTCGACTGACTATTTCAACCATGTTGACTTTTTTCTATAACTTGTATGGATAATCATATTTGTGTTTTAAAGTTTCTATCTGTCTATTATAGTTGAGGAACACTCTGCATTATTCATGATCGTTCACGGGCCATCCGTGTGATTTTTGTGCACTCTAGTTCTTAAAGACATGATACAGAGAGCTGATTTTTCTTTTTATCTTAGTTCTTATTGTATATGGTATATGTTTTTGTACTGGCTGGTTTTTACTTGACGACCCGAATAGCGTATCTAAGAAAGGTCTGTGACTATTTTCTAGACGTATTTGTTTATTTCTATTTCAAGGAATTGAATAATTATTCGTATCAATATAAATGATGAAGACCTTATAACATTTGACAAATCCCTCAACTTATTATTTTTTTTTTTGTACATTCGAATTGCTATATTATGTCCGATGAAAATTCAAAAAGGGGGAAGTCCATAAAAACTGACAAAAACAAACATTAAACTTGAACAACCAACGAAACGAAAGGAAAACAACTGTCATTTTGCTGACTTGGTACAGCAATTTTCCAAAGAAAGACGTATAATAATTGTTTGAAGAAGTGATATCTGTGTTTGATTAAGATGCTAATACATTTCATTTTTGTACGTTTTTGATTGCTGGCGAATGGTGCTGTGGGTTAAAGAATAATATGCGCTTTTAAATATTGGCCTTTTTTAGTTTTACTACATGTATACAAATGTATAATTTACTACTCACGATTTCTGCATTTGATCTTTCCGAGGACTCCATCACATTTTTTAGTCTCTCTATTTTTCCTTTTAATCTCCTGGCAACATTTGTCGACTTCGCTCCTGTCTTCTCCGATTTTCAAATACATTTTTAAACAATTACAGTTTATGTAAATGGCATTTTTAACATCAGCATAAGGGGTTTCACCAAGGTAAACATCATTTGATCCCAGAACATGCCCCTTCACTTCTATTACAGAATCAAGTCTATGAATCTGTTCATCTACAAGCACTTTTACTGAAACATACTTTCCTTCATCTAAAGTCCGTTCTACTATCAACTTATGCCAGCGGTTGTCGTTCCATTTGTTGACCATTTCTGCGTCATCATAGGGTATTATAGAAGATCTGTTTTTACTATTTTTCCGATAAGTGAATACCAACTCACCATCTTCAATAGTTACCGTAAATTGATGCTGTTTGCTGTTGTTGGACTCTAAATGCACTAACAGGCCATTGCTCCTTCGAGTCAAAAAATCAAAGCTGAATATATCATTCATGCAAACATCTTGTATACTGTGGAATTCGGTCTGGTTTGGTAAAATGAAACCATCTGTTTGTAGAGTCAAAATGAAAATACTGTACAACTTTAAAATAAGCCCATTCATTTTTGTGGCATTTCGTTGGAAAAGATCCTACGCGAAGAGACACGCACATGCATTTATTGTAATATGCATTAACATTTATATTGTTTGTAAAGTGTGCATTTCATGTTATCTGTTTATGAAATCAATCAAGCAGGATATAATGGTATAACACGAATAATAATTCCCTGGCGAAGATGACATTTTCTATTAGAATTGATAATAGAGAGAAACTTAGTATCATTATCATGGATACAATACAAATATCACTTTATGATGTCAATTGTTGAAGTTAGCTATGTTGTTTTTATTCAAACATTTCACAGAAATTCACCAAATCATACATTTGTATTTTTGAACCTTTACACGGATTTGAGACTTCTCTGTATAATATAATTGTATCATTAAATGGAGATTTGAAGTATTTGTCAAAGAGACAGCAATCAAAAGCTAGCAATAACCGAACGTCATTTAGAAGGTATTATTATACAATTCATGACTTTTGCTGAAGTTTCCATAAGGATGCAAACAATAGACATGTCGCTATATAGTAAATAATCATTTAGAGGGCATTATTATACAATTGATGACTTTTGCTGATGTTGCCATAAGGATTCAAACAATAGACATGTCGCTATATAGGAAATAATTATTATCGTCCCCAGTCAAAGCTGGTTGTTGATAAATTAAAAACCTGGACATTTTAATGCTTACTCATGTAATGTATGGGCTTTACTCATTGTAAATAGCCGTGCGGTAACCTGTTATTATTCAAAGCTTGGTCATTTGGTCTGTATTGATAAATCTCTTATTGTCAAAAGGCCACATCCCTTTATTTTTATATAAATAGAAACTATAAAAGATCTAACATCAACATAAAAAAAGAAAGAAAAAACAATATATCATAAGACAACGACTAACAATGTGCCTAGCTTTTAGACAGACACGTAAAAATGAGGGGAATAGATCTCAACCCTCCCCTTGTTAATATTGATCATTGGATAATCAAAATGTACATAAAAGGTACATTCAATATGCCTAATAAAGTAAATCGGTAAACTAGTTCAATGTCTCAAACATGTACTAATTTAAAGACGCTTGTTTAATGAGAGGAAATAAACAGTTAATGGAACATACATATTTTCGGTATATTTGTAAATTGAAAATATTCCTTTACATGTTCAACGTATACATATATTCTTAGATTTGTTAGCTCTTAATTGGTTCATACAGACAGAACAAATATATTTTTATTTCATTAATTTGTGGGCGCTTTGTAGGTATATATATATATATATACGTACGGTATATATAAAACGTCTGAATAATAGTCAACGATTTTTCCCACGAGTGCGCTGGATCGCTGGTTGCGGAAACAAACGATGTCTGACTTGCAAACAAATACTGGTTACCCAGACTTTTAACAGTCACTCCACTGGTACAGAATACACCATATTTTGCAATGTTAATTGCAAGACTACAAATGTTGTGTATCTCCTACAGTGTAAATGGGGTAAACAGTATGTTGGCGAGCCAGAACAGCCGTTTCACAAACGAATAAACGGTCATCGTAGCGACTACCAATGCAAACCAGACCTCCCTCTCAGTCGACATTTGAGACCCCCTAGCCACACTAAGGCAGATCTCAATCGACTGACCATTACAATCATTGACCATAACTCTGCTTGGTCTAGGGAGGATAGACTCACTCGGGAAAGATTTTGGATAAGAAAATTAACAACTTTGGCACCAAATGGGATAAATGAAAAGATGTAGTTCGACTCCATGCAGTGCTTCACATTTGGGTTATATTACTTATCATTACAGTCTCTGTTTCTATTTCTTTAAATTACTCATCTCTAATATAAATCTGTTGAATATACCAATTTAAATTGCTTAATTTTTTGAGGGATGTAAAAGTACCAAGCCACGTTCAACTAGTTAACCTTAGTCAAAATTTATTATTATATTTTAACGGCCGTTTGTTTGCGATGTTTAAATACGCAGACTCTGTTGTAACTACTCTACCGTTGTCAAATTTGAAATATTTACAAATTTAGATCGTTCAGTGCTGTTTATTTGGAATTCTTATTGACGCAATCGTTCTTGTAACATCGTCACCGTTGAAGCTTTAGAATTGTGCTAGTTCATATCGCACATTATTATTTTTATTTAAAGCATATATTTGAACTCTCTGTTGTAATTAGTCATATAACCTATGTCGTGTTTAACACATATTTAGAAGTGTGCAAGCGTCTTACCTGATGTTCGGTTTGACTTTTTTATTGTATAAATTTCAAGATTGTTACAGTTTAATCTAAGTAGACTGATATAAGATTCATTCAACATCACAATCATATTTACTGATGAAGGATATCTGTTATCCGAAATATTTATAAATAATTACATTTATAGTTCCTTTTTTTGTTATTGGTGTTGTTGTGTACACTTTTTAGGCGTTTACATACGTTACATTCAGTATGCCTAATATAATGCACCTTTTGTTTGCGGTATACCATCTTTTCCGCAAGTTTAATGTTTTCTGTTTGGTAATAAATTAATAATTAAGATTCATTTTGTTACAACTGTGATCCGTTTATTTGGCAATCGCCAATGGCAGTCAGCAGGGTTTAAGAACATTTGTTGTTCGACCTGTTAGTCAAATGCGTTTTGTTAAAATACACTTTTTCACTTTTTTGGTCTTTTGAAAAATGTTGTTTGTGCTGTATTTAGACCTCTCTACCAAGAAATTTGTTTTGCATGCACACGTATAAACATTGCGGTTTTTATCCAACGCAATCATAGGTTTGAACGTTGTTTTCAATTTAGACTTGTTTATATTTTTTCGTTTGGGATTGTATTATATTTGCCTTCGGGTTTATATGATCCGTTCATCCTATTTCGACTCTTTAAAATTCAAGAGTCTATCCTAAATTGAGGTAAATTATATGGCCTTCCAAATACCGTTTCGATTCCTAACATCACTGAAGAGACATTAATTGTCGAAATCCGGATATGGTGTACAAAATCTTTTGCACCTTTTGTTTGCGGTATACCATCTTTTCCGCAAGTTTATTGTTTTCTGTTTGGTAATAAATTAATAATTAAGATCTATTTTGTTACATCTGGTGATCCGTTTATTTGGCAATCGCCAATGGCAGTCAGCAGGGTTTAAGAACATTTGTTGTTCGACCTGTTAGTCAAATGCGTTTTGTTAAAATACACTTTTTCACTTTTTTGGTCTTTTGAAAAATGTTGTTTGTGCTGTATTTAGACCTCTCTACCAAGAAATTTGTTTTGCATGCACACGTATAAACATTGCGGTTTTTATCCAACGCAATCATAGGTTTGAACGTTGTTTTCAATTTAGACTTGTTTATATTTTTTCGTTTGGGATTGTATTATATTTGCCTTCGGGTTTATATGATCCGTTCATCCTATTTCGACTCTTCAAAATTCAAGAGTCTATCCTAAATTGAGGTAAATTATATGGCCTTCCAAATACCGTTTCGATTCCTAACATCACTGAAGAGACATTAATTGTCGAAATCCGGATATGGTGTACAAAATCTTTTGCACCTTTTGTTTGCGGTATACCATCTTTTCCGCAAGTTTATTGTTTTCTGTTTGGTAATAAATTAATAATTAAGATCTATTTTGTTACATCTGGTGATCCGTTTATTTGGCAATCGCCAATGGCAGTCAGCAGGGTTTAAGAACATTTGTTGTTCGACCTGTTAGTCAAATGCGTTTTGTTAAAATACACTTTTTCACTTTTTTGGTCTTTTGAAAAATGTTGTTTGTGCTGTATTTAGACCTCTCTACCAAGAAATTTGTTTTGCATGCACACGTATAAACATTGCGGTTTTTATCCAACGCAATCATAGGTTTGAACGTTGTTTTCAATTTAGACTTGTTTATATTTTTTCGTTTGGGATTGTATTATATTTGCCTTCGGGTTTATATGATCCGTTCATCCTATTTCGACTCTTCAAAATTCAAGAGTCTATCCTAAATTGAGGTAAATTATATGGCCTTCCAAATACCGTTTCGATTCCTAACATCACTGAAGAGACATTAATTGTCGAAATCCGGATATGGTGTACAAAATCTTTTGCACCTTTTGTTTGCGGTATACCATCTTTTCCGCAAGTTTATTGTTTTCTGTTTGGTAATAAATTAATAATTAAGATCTATTTTGTTACATCTGGTGATCCGTTTATTTGGCAATCGCCAATGGCAGTCAGCAGGGTTTAAGAACATTTGTTGTTCGACCTGTTAGTCAAATGCGTTTTGTTAAAATACACTTTTCCACTTTTTTGGTCTTTTGAAAAATGTTGTTTGTGATGTATTTAGACCCCTCTACTAAGAAATTTGTTTTGCATGCACACGTATAAAAATTGCGGTTTTTATCCAACGCAATCATAGGTTTGAACGTTGTTTTCAATTTAGACTTGTATATATATATAAACAGGAAAAAGACCAAAAAAGTGAAAAAGTATTTGTTTACAAAACGCATTTGACAAGCAGGTCGAACAACGGATGTTCTTAAACCCTGCTGACTGCCACGGCGATCGCCAAATATAATTGTTAATTTAATACCAAACAGAAAACAATAAACTTGCGGAAAAGATGTGTGCAATCAAAACAAATTTCTTGATAGAGGGGTCTAAATACAGCACAAACAACATATATATATACTTTTCTAAATTTAGGCATTTTGTAAAATCATTTCGTCTTGGTGATATGTGGGGTGTGCGTATCATCGTATCAAGGACATTTTTCTCCCCAAATAGATTACTAATTGGAGGTGGGGCTTAGTAGTGAGTTTTTGTCTTGCAGAAAAAGGGGTTACTTTTTATATCTAAAATTTCCTAATAACTTAAGACAAATAAGACTCTCTATCATCCCTTCGAAAATTTTACGGACGCCATTCCGAGTTGGTTGACCGTAATGGAATATCTGTTTCACAGATGACGACGGATATGTTCTAATTGTCGCAACAATAATTTCGTCCTCTTTTCCTTGAATGTGATCTAACGAATTAGACTTATCAACGGGTTTG